CCTAGGCTCGTTTATCTTTTATCTTCTCGTCTTACTTCACAAGAAAGTTGAATGTATTTTCGATATTTAACACAAACATCTAGAAATACAGACTTTGATTATTTTTCTGTTCAATGACAATAAATGTTAATTTTATGTATATAAAACTTTATTGTTTTTAATTCATTACCTAAATAAGATTAGGAGTTACCTCTTTCTTCTCTATAATGAATTCTTCTATTGTGCATCCAATGAGAGTTTCTGGTGTGTCAAATAATATTACCTTTGCTCTGTCCTTGTAATTTTCTAAGAGAATCTAAAATAAATAATTATATTTTTTATTGTCAATTTACCTTAGATTATAATATTAATATCTAATTTTGATATGTTTATTTTCATGAAAAAGGGATAGAAATTTGATGATGCTATTACATGCTTATCTTTGATCGTGTCTTCAAGAATTGATCCTTCGTTGGTAGTCATATTCCCAAATGAAATTACACACCGAGTCATGCCACTGTATAGGAAAAAGAAAAATGTCGATTTTAATTTTTTTAACTTATGCTATTGTAAATAAGTATCATGTCTACACCGTTTGCCCATTATAAGAATTTATCTCCACTTATCTGGGTTGTTATATTTCGTAACATAGTTGATCAATGGTTTTAGTTTAGTTTCTATTGCAAGATTTTCATGTATGTAATTTTATATTACTTTAATGATAGCTTTAGTATTTGAAGAATAAGGCATGAAAATTTATAAAAACTTACTAATTTTTCTTATACCTTTCATGGAGAATGCTTATTTGATTGGGATAAAGTTGTTCAATATGTTCTTCAAGAGAAATTCAATCGGTGCTTTTTTGATATATATGGCTTTTGTCAATGTTAATTCAAGTGATTCATGAACGTTTCCGAATTTTAGGTTTATTTCCTTCACTTCTCCATTTGAAATGAAAATATCTTGATTCTTTTGAAGGATATATCTAAACTTTCTGATAGTTTTTCTATACATAACTCCTTATATTTTTTACACTATAAATACTATTAAAATCAGAGATCAACATTATCATCAATTAATGCTAAGCTATTATATCAGTCTTTTATCAGTTTTATATAATATAGTCTTCTATCAATTAATGTTATTAGTAAAACTATATGCAATTCATGTAATTTATATAATGACGCTGATTTTTAGTCTATCATATATTTTTTTCAAATTTTTATTCCTTAACTGGGTATTTTTAATCTATTTTTATTGCTATTTTTTACCAGCATCATTTTAGACCACTTTTAGATGCTGAAAAGTGATAATAAACTTTAAATTGAAAGTTTAATATATATACATATATATATATAAACGATTACTCATTTCTTAGCTTTAAAAATTTCAGCATTTTTTGTGATTTTGAACCTTTGAGGGTGTGGTTTGCAATTTTTTTAAGTTAGATAATGTTTTTAAAATTTTTAAGTTTTAAGTTGAGTAGTTGTAATTTCCATGTTCGAGTGTTAGTGGTAAGTTTTTAAATGTTAGGATATTTCTTGCAACTCTGGTATTTTGTGGGTGTTTTTTGTAAATTCAGTTGCTTTTACAAAATTTAAATTTTTAGTAGTCTACTGATAATTTTCAGATTTGATGTGTATTGATTATAAGTTTTGAAATTTTAAGGTTTTGTGATTTTTAATTTTTGAGGGAGTTTTTATAATTTTTGTAACTTTGAGTTATTTTTTGCTAAATTTAAATTTTCAAGTGCCTATTAGTAATCCCTTGAATTCATCTATGTTGTTTTCAAGTTTTGAATTTTTAGAATTTTAGCATGTTTTTTTGTAATTTAAACTTTGACGTTGTTTCTACAATTTTTGAAATGTTAAGGATGTTAATTGCAATTTTTAAATTCTTAGAGTATTATTGTTTGTTGTTTTAAGATTTTAAGTCAGGGTGTTTTGTATAATTTTAAACTTTTGAGGGTATTTCATGTAATTTTTAAAACTTTTTGGGTTTTTTAGTAATACTTCATGCATTATAATATGTTAGCTACATATGATTTCTTAATCTTATTTTTTTTTTAATTTGTTGAGCTATAGGTAGTTCACGTGGTATTAGTAAAGAAAATAATTAGTATTTTGATAGATTAGGATTTAAATGAAATATTCAAAATAGTGTTTCACGTATTTTATTAATCTTTTTTTTAATTGGTGAGCTATACACAGTTCACTTGGGATTAGTACAAGAAATAATTTAAATTAGGATAAAAAATTTTAAATGAGATATTCAAAACAGTGAAGGATAATATTGACCATGAAAAACTTTCCCGAACTCGTGCTTTTAAAGGGAGTATGGTTTATAAATAATTTAGTTAAATACTTATAACAAATTATATAATTATTTAATACTACAATATACAATATAATATTTGTATTTGTAATTTAGAATAAGTATAATAAATTATATGCTATTTATAACTATTCTTAATTATAATATCTATATATAGTATAATTACAGTGCTATTATTCACTATAATGTATTAAATAATAGTGTAATTCTTAGTTAAGTTATAATATTAAAATAATTATATTATTTTATTATAACATATTTATACAAATTTATTGTATTATTCATTGAATGATAATTTACTTTTTAAGAATATTTAATATTGTTATTTTATTTATAATAGTATTTTATTATTTCATTATAATGTATAAATAGGCATCTAACAATTTAATAACATATTTATAAGTAGTGAATGGCATACTTTTTAATAATATTTGGCAACGTACTATTTTATTATAATTTATAAATAGACACTTAACAATTTAATAATATATTATTTAATAAATTATGTATAGTTATTTTACAAAATATTTTATGGCACTAATAATTTTATACGATTTTATTATAATCAATAATTATCTATAATAAATTATAACATATTTTATAAAAAAATTATCATTGTAAAGGTATTTATATTAATTATATTTCAATGAATGCCTCAATATATGGGAACGTAAGGAGGTCCTAATTAATAAAATGTTATGGATAATTAGTTAAAATTATTTAAAAGTAATGGTATAATTGTAAATTATCAAAATTTGAGCGGGAAAAAAGGAAATCAAAAGTTTTAACATGGGTATTCTCTTTTATTAGTATAGATATAGATACATGAAATTTACAAATAACTCTTTATTCCCCCCCCCCCAACCCACCCACCCACACACACACACAAAGTTTTTTTTTTTACTTATTTTAAGGGATACCGGTCCCTTATTAGTATTAACTCTTTAATATTTTGAAATTAGTCCCTCAAAGCATTGAAATTGCTATTAGTCCCTCAGGCTCAAACTTCTACCAGTTCTTTCAAATTAGCCTTAATAGTTAATCTGTTGCTTAATTTCGAAGGAATGTTCCATTTAACTTAATTTCAAATTTTCAATTACACTCCTCTGTTAAGTTACTCCAACCCCAAAACTGTTTCTTTAAACTTGTTTAAACCCAAATATGTTTCCTTAAACTTTCTGTAATTTTGGGGAGGGAGAACGCCTAATTGAGGTTAGAAATGTAATTGATCATTTGTGGTTAACAGCTAATCTAAAATGAGACATTTGTGGTTAACAGCTAATCTAAAATGAGTTAACTAATAGGAGGACTAATTTGAAATAACTGAAAAGACTTGAGCGGCTAAATAGCAATTTCAATTATTTGAGAGACTAGTTTCAAATATTAAAAATTGAAAGGGCCAATATCTTTTTTTAAAAACTTAATTTTAATAACCCTTAGATTTCTAGTGGGGTCCATATAATAACTTCTCAAATAAAATTTCTCTCCCCCCTCCCTTCCAAGCTTTCCTTAAAATTATGTTAGTTTTCAAAACCTAGTCTCTGTATCTGACTGCTCCACGTCTCCAGAAATCCGGGTAACTTAAATATATATATGAAGCTTCATCTCATGTTTAGATATCATCTTTCAGTTGATACTATATTATTGTTGCTGGGTAATTTTAATTGAATTTCTTAACTAGTTAGCTTTTAAATTAATGCTACACTACAGCCCTTATATCTCAAATATATGCAACTTATTAACTTTTAAATTTGTTTTTTCTTAACCAGTTAGCTTTTGAAATAAATATTCTCAATTTGTTGAACTGGTTGAATCGAGTTGTACTAGAGGCTTTGTATACAGAGGACACTCTTTACGAAATCAACAAGATGGAAGGATTTATTTAATAATTGATAAGAAGCTTGACTTTATTTGCTCATCCATGACACTAAGCCCCCAGCTGAACGTTTCTAGACTTGTCCCTGACTCCAAGAGTAACAAAATTATCTCTGAATATTATTTTCATTTTACTCAGAATAGTTCTTCAAAGAATTTATCTATATTACTTTTTTCTTCAATATCATTCAAAAAAGATTCAATTGTAATGTTGTACAAATTAGCACTTTACAGTTCCAGGCTCTTCGAAATGAGTGAGAGACCCATCAGGCCAGAAAAGGAGGAAAAGAATGAATCAAACATAAAAGAACACATATTTCTTCCACATCTCAAACTCTATAAAATGAAGATAGCAAGGATGCCATATAAATATTACGTTTTTTATACAAGGCAATTCAAAAAGTTACACATGACAAAGATCAGAGTAAGTGCTTGCACAGATACAAAATTCATCCTCTTCATGTATGCCACACATAATCAGGACATTTCAAAACTCATGTATGTACCAGGTTTTGGGGACTTGATTTCAGTTTCCAATACTCTCTCCTAGGTTTCATGGTCTCGGCTTTTTAGGCAGTCCCAACTATTTTGCTTATGATTTTGATTGCTTATGGTTTTGGGGACTTGATTTCAGTTTCCAATACTCTCTCCTAGGTCATGAAATTCATGCATTTTGATTGCAGTTTCCTAGGTTTCATGATCTCAGCTTATTTGGCGGCCTCAGTGAATGTGAATTTGTCAACTCAGAAGTGCTTGAAACACCACTCAAACCGAAAATTCAAACCGTTTGGATGTACCTCATACCAACTAAACCATCTATAAACAAACTATCAGATAATCTCAAAAGGCTTTACCAGGCATCAAGGGGCCCAAATTTAGCAAATAGCAAAAACATACACCTAAACACCAATTTGTTTGCCACTTGACTTGATGCATGGACAATATTTGTTGAAATCATATGATAAATTTATAGCAACTAGGGTGAGGACAAACGAAGGAAAGACATCTGTTTTCTATTATCAAATGTTTACATAAAGGATCAGCTTTTAAGTTGATATCTTTCTGCATTATCAATGGATCAACTTACAGGACATATTCAAAACAAAGTACTACAGTGTATATTATTTGTTAAGAGTATATTAGTTGATAAAACTAGGGAAGGGATAATTTATAAGTAGAAAGATGGAGAGAAACTTGAATCAAAAGGATTTAGAATAGTAAAAGAAAAAATAATACATGGAACAAAATTTTAGTAAAATTGCAAAGAGGAATGAGCTTATAGGACATGCTGATAATCATGAAATACCTAAGGGCAATCACTTTCATTTATTAAAATCAATCATTCATCAAGATCGTGACATTGAGAATGAGGTTCATAAAATCAAACGATTACGATGCATGGAATTTATTGTTATAATATTATTACATATATATGTTGTCATAATATTTTGTTGTATTGTTCATACATATTATGATAATGTCAGAATTTGATAATTGTAATAATGTAACATAGATTATAATTTGAAAATTACCTAAACAAGATAAACACCATCATATCTTTTTCTCATCGGAGCATAAAAATAACAATAATATATGTCCATACATAACTATTTCCGAGATAGATCATCTAATAGATAGTTAGATACAGATAAACATGGAAGCTTGATAGATTCTAAAAATATACAAAAGGATATTACTAATTAATTAGAACTAAATAAAAGAAGTTTGATAGTCATTTTGTGCTAAGAGGCTGCCAAGTGCAACCATTGGTTATTGTTTTAGTATAAAGTTGAGTAGTGATTCTAAACATATAGTTCATATCCAAAAACTAATATTGTCTTTCAAGTTACCAGATGCAGCGATAATTAGCATAATCACAATCAAGAGGCTACTACAAATCTCCTTCAGTAAAAGAAGTTTTAAAAAGACACAGATAGCAGGTAATAACATACCTCAGCAGCTTCCAATAGGTGACCTTCGTCCTTGTACAAAATTCCGCAGTGGGTAAGGGCACATGCGTTTTCAGGGTCAAGCCTGATGGCTTCAGAAAAACTCTCAAAAGCTTGCTGCATCCTATTCTGCATCTGAAGGCAAATCCCCTTGCCTATAAGAGCTTCAACATTACTGCTGTCTTTCTCAAGGAAACCTTCATACAACACGAGAGCATCCGCAAACTTGTTTCGTGAGCGAAGGATATTGGCATAAGAGAGGGCATCTTTTCCTTCAAATTTATTGTCGAGAGGACGAATAGGAGATGGAGCTTCTGTAGCACCATCTGACGAAGGTCGCATTGCTTTTATCCCCTCATTTTCTCCCACCACACCATTACTTATTGTCCCGTTCCTGGCATCCATGCTCCTCCAAAGACTCCAAACCATTACAGTAAGTATCCCCAATTTCGGGTTCTAGAGATAAAGAGCAATATATTAGAGAACGACATAAAGGAAAACTTGGGTTCAATAGGCTGTATTGCCCAATTCAGAACTTCAACAAAATTATATCCAAAATTAAGGGGAAAAGGTGAAAACCATAAACAAACAACTCAAATTATATGATCCAAGTTACAGCTAAAACAACCTTAAAAAGTAGATGACTAGCTGACTGCAGCAACTTTTAAAAGGATGTAAAGCAAGCAACAAGGAAACTAACCACAAATTTAAGGGAAATAAAGACAACACTTTCCTCAAGCTAATAAAACACAATAAATCCAATTTATTGACTAACTCAACCGCACCGAAACCGCACGATCTTTCTCTAATCCAAGTTCAAATCTTTTTCCCTTCCAAAGCTTCCAAAAAAATGTTCAAACTAGAATATGAAGTTATCCACAAATATACAGAAAAAAACTTGGTAAAAGAACAACTAAAATACTCCATTAATGGTGGGAAAACGCAACAGGTACAAAATCAAATTTCAAAGGCATAATCTTGAGTCTTTCCAAATGTTATTTAAAACAAAAGCTAGGGTTTTCGAAGCTTACACTGGACAAGTAGAAGAATCGCTGGCACAATCCATGGCGACGACAATTAAGCTGCTTAAGGCTTCAACAATTAAAAAAAAAAGGTCAGTAAAAAGAAAAAGGCTACAAAAAGTCGTAAAAAAAAGCTAAAAGTGAAAAAAGAAAAAAGAGGTTCTTTCTCTCTTAAAAACCCTAGAATAAGTCCAATGAAAAAGAGATAATTGCCAAATTGGTAACTTTAGAAAATAAATAGTGGGGGATTGAAAGAGAACCCCTAGATCATGCAGCTGCAATCTCTGGACTCGTCCGAGCTCCGAATAATTGGGAAAGCTAGTGAGTCTTTAGAGAGAGAGGGGGGGAGGGAAGAGGAGGGAGAAATATAGGGGTTTTCTGAGGAGAGAGAGAGAGAGAGAGAGAGGACCGGTGTTCTTTTGGGGTTAAATTATTTAAAATTAAAATTAAATAAAATTGGAGAAAGCAAGTTGGTGGTTTCGGGCGGGTCGGGTAGAAGAATTTTGACCCGAAGAAAATGAATTGGGGGGGCAATTTGAGATGCTTTTGGGATGCGCTGAAATATCGGCTTACTCGCTATAGGGCCTGTTTGGTTCAATAGAGAGTAGGAATAGGATTAGGAATCCTATTTTATTTATGGATTCCAACCTAATCCATAAAAAATTTATGGACAAGTTTTAGTTTTATAGAATCCTATTTTTTTTGTATTCTATGTTTGTTTCACCCAAGGATTAGGAATTAGAATAAAAAAGAGGAGAGGTGTCAGAAATTCCACCCAATTCCTAGCAAATGGAGTGGATTTGGATTTCTTGAAATATACACTGTTTGAGCCACTTTATAGATTAGCAATTTTATAAAAAAAAATTTGAACCAAACTTAGGATTAGGATTCATTTGGAATCCATTAATTACGAAAACGCCATTGTCAAGTCCAAATACCATTCCTATTCCATAAAATTGGTGAAACAAACAGGCCCATAAAGTAACATCGATTTTTCAGAAAATCTTAAAAATAATATCTGTCACGATAAAATCTAAAAATTGATACACTTAGGGGGGTTATTCATTGGTGTAATTTGGGGTAAATTGTGGTAAATTGTTCCAATGGGGTAATTTTACCCAATGGGATAATTTGAGTGGGATAAAGTGGGATAAAATGGGGTAATGGGACAATTTGAGTGGGATAATTTGTATGACATCTTTTTATAATATTATATTTATAGCTCAATTAAATTCAAGTTTAACTTGATATAACATCAAATGATTAAATAAATAATAGTTGTAATATACAATAATATTATTTTTTTAAGATTATTTTAATATAAAATATTAAAAATAATATAATAATATTAATAATATCAATATTAATCAATTTTTAAATATTTTAAGGCTATTCATAAGGTATAAGATAATATTGTATGGACTTTTAAGGATATTCAGAAGGACTCCCTGTAACACAAACTATCCAATGTAAAATAGATATAATACGGAACATGTACATGTACAAAAACTCACCAAGATAATACACCTCACATAACTCATCAACTCACATAAAGCATAGAAAACATAAAAGAGAAATTTCGAAGATGATCAACAACTACAGGATTCCGATAATGTAAAAGTTGCAAACGGACAAGTCTCATAACAAAATCTGAAGAACATAGCAAAAAAAACAAAAGTTCATATGCTGCTCTATGCTTTGATGGCATATTTCCTCTTTGGGAAATACGCATTTCTCGTTTCTTCTCACGCTCTGTCTTCAAAGATTCCTATAAATGTAAACACAGAAAAAATAAAAGAAAATTCAATGATGGAATTTTAGAAGTTAAATAACAAATCGGATTATCGTCATATAAAAACATGATAAATGAACTTTTTCTCATTGGAATCTAAGAATATTTACTTTTACTCCTACCGTATCCACGTTGAATTCTAGACAAAAAGCAACTTAACAGGGACTAAAATGAGGTTCATGTCACTAAACCAAACTAGTAAGCTTGAGGGACATATACCTTGAGCATGATGGTCAATCTTATACACCCAAATATGAACTCATTACCTTGAGCACGATGGTCAATCTTATACACCCAAGCCATATGAGATGATACATGTGCTTCCATCAATAATATACAAGTAAATATATATAAGTAAATATAAGATTTGCAAATATGTTGGCAAACTCTTTCACCGTGATGCATGGATAGCATTCCCACGCATAGAATAGATCATTCAAGTGCCAAATCTGATTGCAATATTAATTTTAACTGAATCATGCAATCATGGGCTTTTCTCACCATAACAAACTTGTATCATTTTGTACAAAATTAACTTCATATCAGGTTATAAATCCTTGTTAGCAATATCGTAGAAAAGAAATGTGCACACCATCAGTCTTCTACCTCTAACAACTATTATTGTGCTTCATAATTTATCAGGCTTTAAATGTCATTCACTGCTTCAATCCCAAATAGAGAGCTATAGATAATTTTTTAGAAAATGTAGTATGAGATGAAAATTAATAGCAAAGCTCCAAATTGTAAAATTTGGTAACAGAAAACCATGAAGAACTCATTACCTTGAGCACGATGGTCAATTTTCAACATAATATTAACAAACAGCTGTTGCAGTAGATGGAACCTCTAAGATTAAGAGCTTAATGCCTACAACACCAACAACAACTATTACCTTGATGCTCCATGTAGAAAAAAACTGCAAGTTTGTCCTTAAGGACTAGATAACTTCAAGAAGGGAAAATCTAATATAAAATTTATGTAGTCCAGAGGACTAATCAAAGGCTTATACAATTAAGATATTTGCTAACAATGAAAGTTATATTAGCTTTTCAAACTATGTGAACCTACTATCCCTTGAAAAATAAGGAAATTTACCAACTCTGATGCCCTTTCACCAGCATCTTTCATCGCCAACATGATTGAACCATAAAACTTTAATAACATAGAGATACATAGAACCTCCAATTCCTTGTTCTTTACCTTCAAGGGCCTCAATTCAATTTCTTTTGTTTTTTGACAATTTCACTTGGTTTAGGTATAATCAGGACAAAAGGGCATATTTCTCTTATATCTCTTATGTCACAAGTGTCACAAAGATCTTTGAATTTATTGTAATCGACCGAAGATATAATGAATTCGACAACAAATTCGACTTTTGGCGAAAACAAACTGGCGACCACAGTGGGAGCCAACGGTCTCGCTGCCGAGACCGTCGTGTCGCAGCCAACCATCAAGATCCTGGTTGAATCAACAGTCGAGTACGAGTTCGACCAAGCGAAGTTCGAGGAGTATTTGTTATTCTCATCTGTAAAATCTTCTTTGCCTCGCAAATGCAGGAAGATTTCATCTTTGTCGAAGTTGTCAAACACTACAAATGAAGACTTTCACTTAATTGTTGCTGAGAATTCTACTCGCAACCTCTCTGCTCATAATGACTCTTCTCCAGTTAAAGAGTCATTAAATCAAAGCCCGCCGGCATTGACGAAAAGAGCTCGTCAGAGACAACGCCAACGCCGTGCTCGCCAAATGGCTAAGGCCTTGGAACAAACCGACGGGGTTCATTATCACGCGGACCTAAAGTCGAGGAGACATCGAGTGGTTCAGTTGTCTCAACAACCAATCATTCATGTCTCTGCTAAACTCACGACGGAGGAATGAACTATTGTCAAAAGGACTCGTTCAACCCTCAAAGAGCGTATACGAAAACGTCGTGCAAACGCTGCTCTTATTCGTGCTCTCTCACAACAAAGACGAGAAAGGAGGAAGGAAATGGTGACCAAAGAATCACCAAAACTTCGTCAAGTTTGGATTCCAAAGTCTGGACTTATGCAAAATCAGCATTCGGAGCCCGTTAAGACCCCATACCCGCAAATGGGTGGTTTCAGACGTGCGACTCCCAACATAACCTTGGATCGCTCAAAAACAAAAATAAATTGTTCTGAGAATGTCAACAAGGTTTTATACCCCCAGAAGAAGACGCATTCACCAAATGATATCGTCATACCTGGGAGATCATACCAACAGACGATACGATTTTTTGGCAATCATACCGATGAATCGTATTATCAAGTTGAAGTTGTGAATAATTTTCGAAAGAGAGTTATTCGAGAGATAAACTCTCGTTGTTCCTGTGCGCGACTCGTTAAAATAGCATTATCAGAATGTGACTGTTTCAAACGAGAAGTCATCCCATGAAAAGTCTCTGTATTATCGAAACCTAAGCCGAGACATTTCCGCAAAAGAAGAGCAGCTGTCCAAAATGATGAATTCCCTGAAGTCACCATCAACGTGGCTGATAGAAGAAAGTCTAAACAGCATTCAAGTGACTCAAATCCCGACTTTTCCCCGAAAGGAAAAGTCAATCCAAGAATTGCTCAAAGGATGTCTCGACTCCAATTAGGAGCTATCAGACGCAGAGACTATAAGAGAATGCAAGAAGGAATGTCCTCGGAGGATGAATTCTCGGACACTTATTCTGCAATCGCTTCTGATGATACAATGTCTAGCACAGGACAAATCAGAGAAGTATTCACAATCACTGCTGATCAGTTCACTCAAATACTTCAGGAAGCTCTAGCCAAACAACGTGAAGAAATTAGAGCTGAAGTGAAGACAGAAATGAAGTTGGCTATCCAACAAATGAGAGAACTGTTAACTCAACAGCCTCAACCTCCTGAGTCCAATCAGCGATTTGAATCCAGCCACCACACTCGGAATGTTGTAGATGACAGTGATCCAGAGGTGGATGAAGTCATTATGGCTGATACACCTCCCAATGGCAATAACGCTGGGGGTGGTTTAACGGATCCTCCCAATAACGATATTGGGGGTGGTTCAATAGCACCTCTCACTGGGGGTGGTCCAATTATCTTTACTCGACATCATTCAGAAAGAAATGAAGACGATGACGGGAAAATGCAAAAACTTGAAGACAAAATCAATGCTTTGATGACGGCTCAAGAAGTTAAGAAGACGGGTATTCCATGTCCTTATCCGAGGGAATGGGATTCAATACCATACCCGACCAAATTCAATCTGATTAACTTCACACCGTTTGAAGGGAAGAGTTCGCCGATTCAACACTTGATTTATTTCAAGTCTCATTTGGGCATGATCTCTGGAAACGAGGCTTTAATGGTCCGGTCATTCGTTGGCACCCTTCGCGGACCTGCCTTCGATTGGTACCGACGGCTCAAGCCAGGGAGCATCAATTGCTGGGATGACATGGAAAGTTTGTTCCTCAGCAACTTCTTCGATGATGACACCGAAGTGTCAATCGGAATCCTTTTGGATGAGAAGCAAAAAGACGGAGAGTCAGTCGACAATTTTGTCAAGCGTTTCCGTAACATGGCGATGAATTGCAGAGATCCTATTACAGAGGAGTTCATCC